CTAGGAACCACTAGTAAACCTGCAGATTGAGAGCGAAGTGCTCTGTTAGGAACATAAGGAACAATCAGATCTCTGATATCAGATGGAGCTCGGTGATTTAGGGATTTATATTTGAGAATTTTATGATAAAATTAATTTATTTTTAAAATAAACAACATAAATGACCTATTGTAAAACTATATGGCTTTATAAAATGTGGATAAATACCCTGTGGAGAAGCAGATAACCTATGGTAAAGCTAACTGCACATTATTAGGATTAATCTAAAACCATCTGAGAGCAGGAGGAGCAAAGACCTGCAGATCCTCCCTCAGACTCTGTTGGTGGATCATTCTGTCACTACAGCTGATAAGCAGAACCGACGGGTCATCCTGTAGGGGGCAGAGGTCACGGCCCAGCGTAGATGATGTGTTCATTCTGTTATACACCTGGATAATAAAACACGGCAATCAATCAACACGGCTCAATTTACGGCAGAAGATGGAGTGGACAGCGTGGAACGGGGTCCATTAGAACCAGGGGTTAACATTTAGAGAACCCACCAGAATTCTTTACAGTCAGAGGGGGCGGAGGTCAGGGCAAAGCATAGCCGATGTTTTCACCAGGACCCCTCTGTTATACACCTGGATAATAAAACACAGTAATCAATCAACGCAGCTCAATTTACGGCAGAAGATGGAGCGGACAGAGTAGAACGGGGTCCATTAGAACCAGGAGTTAACATTTGGAAAACCCACCAGAATTCTCTACAGTCAGAGGGCAGGAGTTCACCTGGGAGGTTAAAGAGTGTTTAAAGTGAGCAAAAGATTATGGTTATGACAAAGAGGCGTCCTTCTTAATCTTCATAGCAGTGGAAAGATGGAAAACATGGTCTCATTGGTTATTTTCCATTGATTATTGAGAAAAGTTTGAATCATTATTGGTCTCCTGCATTTGTTTCTTGAAATAAAGCCTCTTTACCTTGATCTTGTTATCGCTTTGGATCCTTCTGTCCCATTTGCTATAAGACAAATTGTTCTTGGTTGAATAAAGAGGATCATAACTATAAATGCATCATTCTTGGCGTAACTGCACGGCTGTAGGAGTAACAGATCAGTTATTCAGTGAACGTTTCAGAATAAAAATGGTCCTGAACTCCGGGGTGGATTTCTAAAGAGCTGCCGGCTGAAAAGTTGGCAAGCCGTGGAGCTGCTGACTGAAATATTACTCTAATATCTGACAAGACGTCGTTCATGTTCGTGCTCTGGGTAATTCTGTTAGGGAGTAATGTCAATCCAATGTCATCGGATCGGCTGCGTAAGAAGCAGCTGCGGATGTCGAATCTGCGCCCAGGCTCTCTAGTGGAAATGTTGGAGCGCAATGAAAGCCAGCTGCGGTTTCAAAAAATGGCCGTGAACTCTCCCTTTAATTTATCATAACAAAATAGGATGATGGGAAATGAAAGCATGAAAAATCTGCTTTAATTGGTTCAGTTGGATCCAAATGCTCCTCTCTGTTCTTCCGCAGTTGTTAGGGATGTTGGACACGTCGGTTCCTATGGTGGCCAAGTTCAGGCGCCTGCTGGACAGTCTACCCAGAGAGACTCTGCCGGATGTGGTCGCCTCCATGATCCGCACCTCCAACAAGGAGAAACTGCAGGTGGGCCTTAGGGGTGCAGGGAGGAATGAATGTCAGCGGCATGAAAACTGAAAAATGTCAGTCTGCTTCTGTTTGTGTTCCCTGAAGGTGCTGGATGCAGTGAGCCTGGAGGAGCGCTTCAGGAAGGCTCTGCCCATGCTGACCCGGCAGATCGAGGGACTGAAGCTGCTGCAGAAAACCAGGAGAATGAGTCCTGACTCTGAGAAAAGGGTAACGCATGATTTACAGGATGTACGCCTGCAAAAGTGTTCGTACCTCATTAAATTCTTCACAGTTTGACACGAAGCCCTGAGTTTCATTCAGGACCATCATGAAACCAATAAATCAGTGGGAATCAGAAGGAGCAATTATTCAGCTGCCTCTCACGGCGAGAGCCGATCCAGTTCTACAGTGAACTGTGGGGATTGGCAGCCTAGTGGTTAGAGCTGTGAGCTTGGAATCCTGAGGTTCTGAGTTTGAGCCCCACTCCCACAGACTGCCACTCTGGGTCTCTGAGCAATACCCTTAACCCCACTCTGGACCCGGCACCCCACGGTGGCAGCCCACTGCTCCCCAAAGCAGGGGGTTAAATGCAGTGGTAAATTTCTCCAATGTGAGATAAGAAAGTTCAATTATTTTTATTATTATTATTGTTATTATTATTAAAGGCTTTAAAAACCCTTGGAGGGAACAAAGTGCTGTATGTTAAAAGAGACAGCAGCAGTAAAATCATTGCAAAACCATACGGCCAACCACTAATCAAGTGGTCATTGAACAGAGCAGAGCTGAAGCCCAGGGAGGTCAAAGGTCAGAGAGGTTTGTAGCAGTCTGTATAATTATATAGAAAAGAAACGATTCACTGTTCTTCCAGAACAAGAGTGAGAACATGAAAAACCAATAAGTCAATAATTTGTTAAAACCAAAAACTTTTCTCAACCTTTCTTCTGCTCCAAATAACTCCTGCTTAGTCGGGTCGGATGAAGAGCACCCCAGAACATTAATCTTTGACTTTCAGATTCTCGGTTAGATTTAGGCCTGGACTTTGATTGGGCCGTTTTAGCACACAGACTCTGATCTGATCCACTTTGCTTCCTCAGGCGGACTAAATTCCTCTAAATTATTCCATCCATTTTCCATTAAACACTAACGAGATGCAGATGATGCAGGATTATCTGCACTTTATTTTCCTGTTCCTGTGGATGTGGACGCACCTCGCTGCAGATGAGCTGCACCTTCGCAGCTGACCGTCAGTCAGCGAGTTCCCAGGGTGCGTTTCTGAAGCCAAGGCCTCTTCCCTTAAAACACGTTGTAATTTTTGCCACTCGCTGCACCGACTCCACGTCTGTCTGGAGCAGAGCAAATTGTTCAGGCAGGAATTCAGAGGAGGAAAAGAAAAGTGTATCCAGTAGAATTTACCAGTTAAAGACGACAGGGCAGACTGCGTATCGCATTTTCTGGACTCTTATGTCATAAAAATTATTTTCCTACAGTTGATTAACAGCCGTGACAAATATGGGCATTGGCTTTAAAAAATATCAACAAAAAAAAACTGAATATTGGCCTTCATTGATTCACAATGGATCCAAAGAGCAGGCAGGCGAGATGCTGGTATCACTGGTCAAAGCTGCTTTGATCTATTTAAAGCCTATAAATACACTACCATGGTCACTAACAGCAGCTTTTTTATGCCAACCACAAATACTTACGGGCCACCATCAATCTGGCTTTATCAAGATGATCTGTCACTAATCATAAAAGCGTATTAAATTATATTTTGTAAATAGACAATAGAGACTTTGCTGAGAGAATGAAGGCGTTTCCATCCCTTCTGTATCCGAACTGTCCTGAAAATGCGATCCCTGCCGTACTTCTGGCAGCGCATTTTTTGGCTTTTGATTTGTTAAACATTGCAGTAATTTTTGGTTTTCTGTTTTCATTTCATCGTACCTGTGAAGGATATAGTGAATTCATATGGAGTGAATTTCGTTCCATCATTGTTGCACAGAAAAGGTTTTAACGGAAAATGTAAAAAAATGTCAACTTTGAAAAATGGTTTTGAATCTAAGTTTGCTTTTTTTCTGACATCGTTTTATTTATTTCTGTATATTTTTCATATTTTTTTCAAAACAGTTTTTCAAAATTTTTACAGATTTGGTTTATTAAAATGCCCTGCGATGGACTTGCGACCTGTGCAGGGTCTACCCTGCCCATCGCCCCTGTAGACAGCTGGAGATAGACACCAGCACCCCTCGCAACCTCTTGGGATAAGCATGGATGGATTTTATCAAAATATTTTTTCCAAAAATATATATTTTTACAAATTTTATATTTTCATTTTTTTATTATTTTTATTTTTGATCTTAACCAATAAATGTTGTTGCTAACGTCCAGCAGACCAATCAAAATGCATCTTTACTCCTCACTCCAGAGGAAAGCCAGCGCCCAGAAGTGAATAGAGAGTTATTTCTATAAGGTAATTTGAAAAGAGTTAAATTCATAAAATGCAGGCCAGATAAGAAATCTGTAAAGAAAAAAAAAACAACTTTAGAAAAAGGAAAAAATATTTTTTTATTTCAAATCTCTGTTTACAAAGGTTTTTTTTTGTTTTTTTTTACAAAACTTTTATTTCTTTGCAAGAATAATGGAACAAAATTCACTCCATGTGAAACATTGTAAATTAATAAATTTTCTCAGCAAAGTGGTTATTAATATGTAATATGATACAGTTTAGTATAATTTAATAATTTAAAGATAGAAATAAGTGCTTTTTAACTGTATTTACATTATTTAACTGCGACCTGGATGAATTTCCGGTTGCTTGAAATGAGTCGATGGTACAGACCAGGTAGGAACTGCCAGTCTGCACGGCCCAAAGCAAACAGTTTTCCTGTCGTTAGGGATGTAGTTAGCTGTAGTTAGGGATCTGCGTCGTTTTCTTTCTGCGAGCGTTGAAGGTGGGTGGGAATACTTTTGCAAGGTATGATGTTCACATGTTTCTGGGTTTGATCAGAGTGAAAACCAAACCTTTGTTAATGGCCCAGGTCTTATCAGTGCGGAAAGGCGGCGTGTTCCCAGGGCGACAGTTCAATCTGGGCGAGGAGGACGAGGATGAGGATGGAGACGACATGGCAGCTCTGGAGAGGAAGATCCACGCAGCCAGCATGCCGGAAGCCACGCTCAGAGTTTGTCTGAAGGAATTTAAGAGGTGAGATCTTTGTTCTGGATGATGCAGCCGTCAGGTTTAACTCACAGCATGTTTGGACGTCGATCATGTGGGTTTAAAACTGATTCTAGGTTCTGTGGATCTGTAAGGACCGCCCCCTCCTCTATGATTTTAAACCCGATATCTCTATGGGGAGGGGGGGTTTAGTTTGAAACGTGTTTGTTCCTCTAAAAATGCTTAGTGTTGAAATCTTTGTGTTCAGTATCTGAACTCAGTTTGGAGCGATTTGTACAGAGCCTCCTAAAATCATTCCCAACCCTGATGCCAACCGTTTCCTAGCGTTCGTCTCCTCACTCACCCTCCTCACGATCCTGAAAAGAATCATTTATAAAGAGGAAGAGTATTGGTGATTCCAAAGCGGGATCATTTTCAGACCAATAATTAAAATCTCTGAGGAAAATGTTTCCTCTTCCCTCCATGCTTTCTGTCTCTATGATGCTTTTATTCATTTGGACCCATTTTCATCTTTAGGGTGAAGAGGTGATTTATTCAGGTCCCAAAGGTACATTTAAGACATCCTCAGTTCTCAGGTATCCTATAACGTTGGAGCTCTTTTTTTAAATTTAGGGAAATTGTTACCAACTGGGCCAATATTTTGCTTAAAAAAGCAGCATTCCGACCTTGAAAACTCCTTCAATGTTAATTTTGGGTCTTATGAAGGAATTACTTTTTAAGTACAGTTTTTGCCACCATTGTCCACCATTTCTGTCCAAGCTGACCAATCCGCGTTGACCCGCGCTGACTCATGGGAAATGGAGAGTCACGTAGAGTCCGCGACCCCTAGGGGGGCCATGGAGTTACTGCATGGGGGTCGCAGAAGTTTAGGTTGATTAGACATTTTTTTATATTCCCTCTGCTATTTTTTCCACTAATTGAAATGTTCTTCCTATAAGAACAGCAGAGTACCTTCTTCAGTCCAGTTTATTGTTCAGATCAGAGTCCAGCCATGTTGGTTTGGTGGGTCTGCTGCTGCTGAACTCCACCACCCCCTTCTTGGTTCTTCCCTGCAATTATCAGGAAGTGATACTCTGAGTCATCCTCACCTTTAAACCACAGATATGCTTGTTAAATCACAGTTTTTCCAGATTCCTCTGATTGCAAAGAATGAAACATATTTCCTTATGAAATGCGATTCATGCTTTCACTGCCTTTGTTTTAATGCCTGGAATGTCAGCTTAGATCAGTCGTCTCCACATCAACTATAGGTTTTCCAAAGATGCAGCAGCTTGTTTTTATCTCCGGTCCTGAGTTCTCACCGCTGCTCACGTTCCGTTTCAGAATTGATTTCAAGCTTCTACTGACCACCTTTACATCCTGACATGCTCTGGCCATGTTCATATGTTCCTACTCTCTGAACATCCAAACAGCTTCACAAACATTAAAACATGACGGTTACTGAGCTCCAAACTGTCGGACCAGTTGTAGCGCGGAGACTCTGATGGAACACAACTCTTGTCCTTCCTGTTCGACTACAGAAACATATTAGATCGATCAAACGGTTCTAGGTGTTAGTTCACATTTTCTTTGCTTTATTTGATTTATTGATTATATTTTTTAGTTGTTTTATCTGACTTTTGATAAACAGATTTACATAAACAATAAGAGTGACGTGCTTTTATAAACATTGCCCACAAACAGAGGTGTAAAGAAAAACGTACAGAAACGTTGTGTGAGTTTTAGCCACAAGGGGCGCTAGGCCTGTAACTTCTGGGTTAAGCGCCCCCTAAAGGCCACTGGCAG